TCTCAAGTATCCAAGTGCATTCTCAACCTCCTAAGTGAGGTTGTGGTTATTGTTTCATGTTTAGGTGCATTAGGTGAAGGATAAAATTGGTCACTATTGAAATAGAATACAAAAAAATGTACTACACTGATAGTGAGACTACATCATAAAAAATGAGGGGAACAAAATAACAATTTTCTCGAGCTATAATGATTGCATCTACTGTGAGTAGGGTCGTAGAGATGGACCCAGGTAGGGTTGTATACGAACCGAATCGAGTTCGAATAGTAGGATTTTTGTATTTGTATTTGTTTAATTTTTTCGAATACGAATTCGAATTCAAATATGAAACGAATATTAATTTCGATTTGTATTTGTATTTGTTTAACAATACGAATAGTTAACGAATCTTATATGAATATTAAATAGATTTGAGCATAGGTTAAATATTAGTCAAATATCACTTAAAATTAAATTTTCTTATATTTTTTTATGTTGTAAATGTACGCTATGATTTGATATGTGTTTTAGAATTTAAATTCAATGGATCAATGCATTTTTAGATTGTGCACGATATACTAAAGTGAATCAATTTTATGATTAATAAATATAAATCTATTTCAAACTTTTTGAAATAAACACTAACATATACATATTAAAAATTACACTTATAATGTGTAAAGTAAGTTGATAATTGTATATATCAAAGTCAGACGACTCTAATTTTATTCTGTGAATCAATACACTTTTGAACCAAAACCCCGATTTGTATTCGTATTTATACTCTGATTTATTACAAATAGACTTAGAATTTGTATGCGTAAATGTATATATGAACTACACTTTAGGGTATTGTTATCTTTTAAAAGTAATTATAATGTTATTACTATTATTATTATTAATATTATCACTATTATTATCGAATATATTTGATTAATATTCGAATCGAATACACTGATATTCTTATTTGTATTTGATAACAAATGGAATCAAATTTAATATTCATATTTGTATTTGTATTTGAATTTTCCGAATTCGAATCGTCTCATACGAATTCGAATCGCGAATCGAGCACAAATTATTTGATTCGTTTACAACCCTAGACCCAGGTCAGTCTGGTCTTGGGCTGAGATGCCTAGTCCAAAAAAAATTGGTCGGCTAGGGACCGACCGGGTCTGGGCCAGTATCCGAGTACTCGGGAGGTCCGGGTTTTGGTCTCGGGCCCATTATATTTTTTCCCGATTTCAAGCTTAAAAAATAGCCAGTCCCGGGACCCGTGAACGACTCTTAGGCGGACAGGGCCTGTCCCAGGCCCAAAACCGAAAATTCTGGACCCGGCCAAACAATGCCGAACTCGGTTACGTACCGACGGACTGGGTCCACCCCTAACTATGAGATGAAGATGTGGAATAGATTCATAGGGTTTTAGATGACTTCTATAATTAATTTAACCTTTTTTTTTTTGGAAAATAGCTTATCAGCCAACTTTGTGCTTATTTGATAGCAATTAATGATTTTGATTACCTAAACACCTAAATTTATTGTTTGGTGAATGGTTGATTGAATTAACCTATTAGACTCTAACAACCAAGTATTGAAAGGCTAGGGTGGGCGGTGTTTAGAAATGACAATTCACTTCTTCCTTTAGTACCTTCCCATATTTTATTGCTTCATATTTGATGCAATTGTAAAACAAAATCAGTTCGTTTAGGGGAGAGGTAATGTAGAAGAATGTTCATGTTAGAATCACTCTTACAATCACTCTCTCACTCCGTATCACCGTTAGTAGAATTCATATATAGACTTAGGGGTGGCAGCGGGTCAGATTTTCACCGGGTGGAGGCTCATCCACGTCCACCCGTTAATTTTTTATACTCCACCCACCCGTCCATCATCCATTAAAAATTACATCCACATCCAACCCATCCATCTTGAACGGATTATCGGGTGGATCGGGTGAGTAGCGGGTGAAATATAAATGTTCAAACTTGAGACAAAATAAATAAATTACAAAGAGAAATCATGACAATTAAGAACCAAAAATTAAGAATTCATTGTAAAATAACAACAAAAACATGAGCAATAAAGTATATTACAATCATTAATTCACTCCCAATTACAAAGAAAAAAACTGAATGTTAAACAAAATAGACATAAAACTTCTTCAAGTTGTTAAATTCTGCATTTATGCATTGGCACAAAACTATTTTTGCTATTTAACTGCCACTTCTTGAAGCTCTCCAATTATCTTTGTTTCACCAATTAACTATTATTATTATTATTATTATTATTATTATTTTATTATTATTATTATTATTATATATTATTAAATAGATATAATATATATTATATATTATATATTATATACTTATGTGCGGGTCAGCGGGTGGGTGGATGGAACGGGTGACGGGTCGGGTGATGGGTTGGATGAGCCTTCATCCACACCCGATCCACCCCGTCTTTCGATCCACCCGTCATCCATTTTTCATCCATACTTCTTCGGGTTTTCATCCATATTTTCGGTTCGGGTTGACCGGGTATCCACGGGTGCGGGTGATATTGTCAGCCCTATATAGACTTTAGGCCATAGTTTTGCAAAAGCCTTCTATGAAATAGTATAAGTTTCTCCATTTTGTGCAGCAACTTGGAGAGGAGTGCGGTAGCAGAAGGCTATTTTTTTTTATACAACGGATGGAAAGTAGCAGAAGGCTATTAAGAAATATAGTTTTTAATGTAGTTTAAGCCTCTCTCCTAGGAGACTTGCAATGGCCATAATGTTTTTAGCTGTTCAACACAAAAACCCCAGAAATATGAAACAAACAAGTTATTTATTGCCGGGATCAATTTACTTTCCTTCTAATTTCCTGGGAGAGAAATTAGATGATAGGGAATGAGGGTACTTAAAAGGACCCCTCCTAGATGATATTATATACCCCTTAATTGTTATTTCAATGTTTTGTTTTATTACATCTTATTAAAAATCAACCAGCCCCCTATTTCCAGCTTCTGTCTAGTCTCTACCAAAGTAGCTCAGCTTCTGTAGCACAGGAACACAGAGTAGCTCAGGTAATATGAACGCCCCCAGTATGAAGAAGAAATGAGGCTATTATATGCATTCTCCTGTTTCTCTAGATGGAAACAAACCCCATCCATCTTTTGTTTGTCAAGCTAGAGGAGCTTCTTAGAACTTATCATGGTATTGAATAAGCAAATAGAGAAACACACACAGAGAGAGAAAGAGAGACAGATTAAATTGAAGATCACAAAATCTGCAGAAAACTCAGACAAATCTTGGTTTGACGGATTTGTAGTGTTTGATCATCAATTTAAACTGCTGGAAGTTCTTGAGTAAATCAGACAAGGCAAAAACCCATGTTCCACAAAGATTAGGAATCACATTCACATGGTTTGTCTGTTACCAAATCATCTGATTGATCTGAACAAATGGATCAGTGACATCTGGCAGTAAATTGAGCTTTGAAGCATGTAGGGAATTATGTCCGGCCAGTGACAACTCTTTAATTACAGAATTATTTGTACATTTCTGGATGACCTTTGAAAGACAAAACCATGTGCAAATGTGTCCCAGTCCTGCTAGCTGGCTACCCCCACACTAAACTCTCTTAGCCATTAGTTCCACCTCCTATTGGATCTATATAAACACATTCCCTCAGTTGGTATTCACAACAAACACAACTACATCCTCCACAGAGATTTCACTTTCTTGAATCAACACTTCCTCTAATTTCTAGAGATATTTGAATATGGCAATCAGTATGGGACACATCCTCCGAGGCAAACAAGGCCTCAGGAGGTCTTCTTCAAGAACAAACAGAGAGAGTGAGGTTCCCAAGGGTCACTTTGCAGTTTATGTAGGCGAGAGCGAGAAAAAACGCTTTGTCATTCCAGTTTCATACTTGAAGGACAACTCATTCCAAGAATTGCTAAGTCAAGCTGAAGAAGAATTCGGATTTGATCATCCAACGGGTGGACTTACAATACCTTGTCCAGAGGACACCTTCATTGACATCATCTCTAGTATGCGTAGATCTTGATAGGCTACATGCCTACATGCAGCGTAGTTTATAGACAGTAGAACCGATTTTGATTAGAAAAGTATACTTGTACATTTTGTTTGCTCCTGATCAGACTGAGAAATATAATGTTAAATTTTTTATCATCGACCTTGTCATAATTTGTTACTCATCCAGTCATCCTGCACCTATATGCAAAAGGATGTCTAATTATTTCATATCATTCAATGTTTTTTATTCAAACAAGTCTAAGAGATGCCAAATAATCTCATTCTCAATATGAGATAGCAGAATAAGGAACTGCTCCTGATTAGTAGTATATATGGAAAAATGACCTTTGCTTGAACAAGGACTGTTCAAGAAGTATTCTAACCATTTACTAGTTCAGTCTTGAAAATCATTCAGCTGAGGACAGCCAATTTCAGCCAGCTTTCAGCTAGTTTGATGAATGAAACGTTACAACACTCTAGATAAGTACAAAATCTGTTAAATTGCAAATTTTAATGATGAAAATGCGCATGGAAGGATCCCCTTAGGGTTTTGTTTAAAGAATATCCCTCTCAGAGTCTCAGTGGTGTGTTTTGTTTAGCTTCAACCACGTTGCCCCAGTTCCATGGAGCGTTTCACATTCACTTACAGAAGGCCAAATCTTGTCCTACATAAATGAGGAAACGCGTTCACATGGTTTTGTTTCCTAATAAATACCTCTTTTTTAATGGACTGATTCATCTTTATCACTCATTTGGTAGACTTTTCTTGAGTAGTTGAACTTTCACAATTTGATAGAATGAAGTGGGGAATGATGTCCTATACCTACAAAGCAGTTGGTAGACATTATTGTTTTTGGGAAGAACAAAGCATGTGGTGATGACAGGAGTGGTTGAGCTATCCTAATTTCATATCCTGAAAACTGGATGGCCTTCCAAGCCAAACTTATCTAACTTTCTAAAGGATCATATCTATATAAACATATTCCAGTTAATATTCCTCTCACTCAACTCAAGGCTTTCCTAGCTTCATACAAACAGAGCTTTTGCCTTCAACTAAAACTTCCTACAAATATGGCAATCAGTATGGGACACATCCTCCGTGGTAAACAAGGCCTCAGAAGGTCCTCTTCAAGAACAAACAGAGAGAGTGAGGTTCCTAAGGGTCACTTTGCAGTTTATGTAGGCAAGAGCGACAAAAAGCGCTTTGTAATTCCGGTTTCATACCTGAAAGACAGCTCATTCCAAGACTTGCTAAGTCAAGCTGAAGAAGAGTTCGGCTTTGATGATCCCATGGGGGGACTCACAATACCTTGCCCGGAGGATACCTTCATTGACATCATATCTAGTATGAGTAGATCTTGATAGACTTTAGACATCTTAGGTTATGTAGGTAATCAGTACAACAATTTTGGTGAGAAAATTACTCATGTACAGAGTTCGATATCTTTTTTCCTGTAGATATTGGAATACACATTTTTATTTTATGAGTAGTTTTCATTTGTTACTAATTCTGAACCCCTTCAAGTTGTAGAAGAAGTCTAATTATTCAATATATCTCCAAAGATAATAAATTTTGATTCAGCCGAAGTAAATTAAAGCATTTCTTATTTGTATCTTTTGTTCCTGAAATATAAACTATACTGCAAGTTTAAACTACCTGAATTGAAGAGTTCTGTGGAATTTTACTAAAGAATGTTCAATTTATTACTAGTATTATCCTTGTTACCTTGTATAACCATATTTATCAGGGACAAGTGCTTAAGCATTTATTTATGCTTTATACCTAAGTTTACAAAGAGGGCTGAAAATATAGGTTTACCATTATTGTTTCCTTTTATTACATTTTATTATAGATCAATAAGCCGCCAATTTCCGCTTTCTTCATACCAGGGTAATCTCATTGGTATAATGAATGATGAGGATAGTAAATAAAGCATGTAGCATCTTGGATCAAGAAACCACACTGCATTTATTTATAAACTAATAAAATAAAGAGAAGAGTAGTGCATATTTTTATACTTGCATCTGTTCCATTTAGTTCCGACATGGAGTTCGGAACAAATGTAAAGTTGAAGTTTGAGTTAAATCTGAATTTAAAAAAGAACAATATTTGACAGCGAACTAGAAATATGATTCTTTCGGAGATCAATGAACCTGAAATGGGAGAAGCATTCCAAAGTTGTCTGTCAACACAATATACATATCCAATTTACAACAAAATGTTGACTCTAATATCAGATCTCGAACATGAATCGACAGGAACTGGACTTCCACTTTCTCTGCCTGCCCGATTTTTAGTTCCGGTCTGCCAAACTTGGCATATATTTGGCACCCAAAATGATAAACACCCCGGTATGATGAAACTCGATAAGACGAAACTAAGAGTTGTAGATCCTTGTTCTCGGGATGGAAGCAAGCTTCTGACATTTTTTCTAGCTTAAGAAGCTTCCTAGAATTGATCATGGTATTCAATGAGAAAATAGAAAGAGAGAGAGAAAATAAATGGACGATTACATAACATGTAGAAACCTCAGATAAATCTTGGTTGTACAGATTTGTAATATTTGATGAACAAATTCCATACGTAAGAGATCATTAATTTAAATTGTTTAAGAGGCAATGACAATGAAGATTTTGAGTAAATAAGACAAGGGAATCAACCATGTTCCGCATAAAATGGGGAATCACATCACATGGTTAGGATTCCAAATCATCTCATTCACCCAAACAAGTGAATCAGTCATATCTGGTATTAAGTTGATCTTGGAAAAACGTAAGGAATTGTGTCTTGTGACTGCTTTTTAGCCAGAGTTATTAGTATATATTTGGATGATCTATAAAGGACAGAACCATGTACAACTTGTCCTAGCCATGCTAGCTGGCTGCCCCCACCCTAAACTCTCTTAGCGATTTCTTCTACCTCCTAAAGGATGATCTATATAAACACATTTCCTCAGTTGGTATTCAACACATACTCAACTATATCATCCTCAAAGATCTCACTTTCCTGAACTAACACTTACTCTAATTTGTAAGGATACATTTGACCTATGGCAATCAGTATGGGCCAAATACTCCGTGGTAAACAAGGCCTCAGGAGATCTTCTTCAAGAACAAATAGAGAGAGTGAGGTTCCTAAGGGTCACTTTGCAGTTTATGTAGGCGAGAGCGAGAAGAAGCGCTTTGTCATTCCGATTTCATACCTGAAGGATCACTCATTCCAAGACTTGTTAACTCAAGCTGAAGAAGAGTTTGGGTTTTGTCATCCAAAGGGTGGGCTTACAATACCTTGCTCAGAGGATGCCTTCCTTGACATCATCTCTAGTATGAGTAGATCTTGATAGACTTCAGACATTTTAGTTTATAGTCAACAGAACAATTTGTAGAGAACATTTTTCTTGTATAGTGTTCTACATTATTTTCCAACCATATTTGGAATTACAATTTTTTTATCAGTATCTGTCTATTTATTACTTCTGATCTCCTTTAAGTGGTAAGAAAGAACGTCCTATTATTTATAATTCTTCCAAGTACACAAAAACTATGACGCAGCAGTAAAGCATATGCAATTATATTTATACAAAAAAGTGGATTGGCATATTTCTTGTATTTCTTGGCCTGTTGAATATTCATCAGTCTACAACAAACATGTTCATATGCAATAAGTGTTAAGTTACAGATCAAACTGTAAATGAATGAGAAAGCTATTAATGAGTTCAGATCAAAATAATGCTGAGTATATTGAACTCACAAATTCAAGAAAGTGTATGGTGCACTTTTTGTTTAGGACATAAATATATATATAATCTTATAGTCACAAACTGAATAAGACAATTTTATAACTTAATGAGCTTTGCCGGTATTTGAATATAGACATAAGAACATCAATTTAAAAACATACGCTTCCACTACCGTACACTATGCATGATCTATTAGAAAACATCAATTAAAATGGGACATTCTTGATTTCTGCATCCTTCATAGTGCATTTAAGGAGAAGCACACGGGCGTGAAATAATTGAGATGAGCCATGCATTCTCAAGTTCCCTGTAAGACGTGACATGCTGTAAGACGTAAAGGTTGAATCACAAGGTAGTGTAATAGGCACGGCACATTGCTTCAATGTCCTCTTCAGACATTTTCAAAAGTTGCCTAATAATCTCATTGTTGAGATAAGAAAGATGCACAAGAAAGTGCTTCTTGTCTGCCTTATAGACATTAGATAAAAATGGACCCTTCTCACTTAAGAGGAAGAAGCGCAAGTATATGCATCATTATTTAGTCCGGAAAATGTAACCCCCTTTCTTCAGATGGTCGTGAACTTGCCTTCTTTTCGATAGCCTGAAGAGCTTATTGCAACTGATTAAGGAATTAACTAGGAAGAAAGAGAACTATTGAAAGGGAGAACAGAAAATTTGTAGAAATGTTAGGTCTTAGTTGGACAAGTTAAATAAAATGTTTGCAGAAAAAAGAAATGCATGTGGAAGTTATCTGTTCAAATTTCAAAGTGTTTACAAGGAAAAGGCATGCCTCCTAGCCTAGTTCCCAGATCCCACCCTACCCCATCCCTATGGCTATCTCAAACACACATCGGTTGTAATTGAAGTCAAAACCATGTTCCACATAAATGAGGGATCACATTCACATGGTTTTGCTACCAAATAATACGATTCATCCAAACAAACGGATTAACATCTGGTTGAGCTTTACCCACAGAGTTGAGGCATGTACGGGATCGTATTCCGTCAAAGCTATTGAGTAAGACAGACAATACTACGAATTCTGGACAATATCAGCAAGACAAAATCATGTGCAAATGTGTCCTAATCATGCTAGCTGGCTGCTCACCCACCCTTCAACTCTTTTAGCCACTTATTACACCTCCTAAGGATCTATATAAACACACTTCTTCAGTTGGAATTCACAACACATTCAACTACATCCTACACAAAGATCTTAATTTCTTGAATTAGCACTGCCTATACTTTGAAAAGAAATATTTAAACATGGCCATCAGTTTGGGGCACATTCTTCGTGGGAAACAAGGTCTGAGAAGGTCATCTTCAAGAACAAACAGAGAAAATGTGGTTCCCAAGGGTCACTTTGCAGTTTATGTAGGAGAGAGCGAAAAGAAGCGCTTTGTCATTCCGATTTCATACTTGAAGGAGCACTCATTTCAAGACTTGCTAACTCAAGCTGAAGAAGAATTCGGGTTTGATCATCCAATGGGTGGACTTACAATACCTTGTCCTGAGGACACCTTCCTTGACATCATCTCTACTCTCTAATATGAGTAGATCTTTATAGACTAGTTTATAGCCAGTAGATTTTTTTTTAAAGAGAAAAGCATACTTGTACATTGATTTTTGTTTTCCAGATCAGATTGAGAAATACAATCCTTATAATTTAATCAATTGTCCTGTCTCAATTATATTGCTTATGGTGAACCAATCAAGTGGTATTAAAAGGATGTCTAACACTCTAACTATTCCAAATCTTTCAAAGGTTATGGAAACTATGGTTTAGCAGTAAATTACTATCGTACATCATTATGCAACCGCAATGAGCTTTATGCAAATGTTCCAGATCAGAAATTAGCTATTCACTCCTTGAACATTGAAACTACAACGTACGTCCGTACCTTAAGAGAAACTGATAACTATGGAGGTCCACCACTGCTATTCAGATAGTGAGTAATTCAGTAGAGATAACAACTCAGCCTCCAGGCTAATTATTTCCAATCAGAAACTGAGTCAACACAGTAGGACGCGGCTAACAATAATTGACTCTATGCATGAGATAAGTAGAAGCAAGAGCTCACCGTGCCAATTCCCAAATTAGTTCTTAGAATTACTGTTCAACTTATCTAGATTCGGTCATGAAACGATTGAGTATTTGAATTCAACTGGCCAATCTAATTTATAAAATTTTCGTACTGAATTTTATAAATTACTCCTACGTGCTATCGCACTCTGTATATTGTAGCAACACGTACTTGTGCAACACAGGTTAGTTGTACAAGGTATTTCAGAGGCTGATCCAATTGTCTAGGAAGACAATCCTTTTTCAAACAATTTTTTTTTGCCTGGAACCCTGGACAAAATCGGAAAAAAAAAAATTGCCTCCACACAGGCAATAATGCGTAGTAGTTTGATTGTCATATTTTAATACTCCCTCTCCCATTGCACTTTGTCAACTTTTCTTTTTTACTTGTCCCAAAAAACTTTATGACTTTCCTATTAAAGCAACTAATTTGTGATTCTGCACATTTCTCTCTCCTCTGCACAAATTGCAACCACACAATTTTTAGTATTCTTACCTAACTTGCACTTGGCAAAGTCTTCCGGGACGGAGGTAGTATGGAGTAAGATTTATTTTTAAGAGAGCTTTGTACACACCATGTCTTCATAGACATATTTTTTGTCTATGGCCGAAACTCACAGACAAAAAAAAATTCTGACTGACATGGTGGGTTCAGAAATGGGTATAAATAGTTTTTTTGTATTTTTTTAATTTCTTGTTGAGTTCTACTCCCTTTGTATCTATTTAGTATGTTTTTTTACGCAGTTTAAAGCAAATATATGTAAAGTAGGAGGTTTTTGGTACTGTAGCAGTACTGTAGCGGTACTGTAGCTGCTTTTTGGGTGCATTTAT